CCATATGAAATATCAGACCAGCAGGGACATAACAGACACATCTTACAGCTTCGCCTTACCACAAACACTGTAATACTAATAAGCCAGTGATTTAGGTCACGAGGAGTCCCCTCAGTGGTTATGAAATAGTCTGGCATCCCCAGTTTGTATCTCTGCATTTCGTTTGGAAATGTGCAGACAGCCACCGTGCTATGAATTGTCAGACTGGGTCTGAGGAACTATATTACGAGTCTAATCTACTTGTCGTTTTTTCGATTTGATATAGGAGGCGATGGTGGGAGATATGTTGAGGAAGCTTCTAGTGCAGCCCCTGGTCTATTTAAATCATCTCACTGACTCAGAGTTCTCTCAATAATGAATACATAAGCCAAGGCTAGGTTTTCTCAGGATTTAGAGCCAGCAGTTATCTCAATCTCAATATGCCACACACACTAGGTCGATAAAGTAAATTATGAACGTTGCACAGATAATCACTAAAGTGATTTTGAGACAAACAAAACTTTGAGATGCCAAAAAAAAAATCTTATGTGTCGGTTCATTATGTTTATGCCAGTCGGGTCCTGTATTGTTATGTATTGAATTTTACCAGCATTTCTGTCTGTAATATTCCAACATCAATCATATCAGCAGCACTAACTATAAGCTGAGTTTGTAGTCCTGATGTCACCCTACCCTCCGCCATGTGGAGGACAGGTGCCTGCTTCACGGCCCTGCAGAAAGACGAGTTGGCAGCCTGACTGTGACCACCTCCTTCTCCCTGCCTCTGCTGCCAACAACCCTGGCACATCTGTGGCTGTCCAGCGTGTGTGGTGCCAACTACCCTGCTCTCATTGTTCTCTCCTGAATGCACCCAACGCCCATGGGATAAAAGGCTGAACACAGTGTGGCACAACCTACACAGCCTGTTAGATAATCTCAAGACATGAAAAGATTCTCTTAGCCTAGATTCTAGAAAAAGCTTTTTGTCTCCCTTCGCAGGCAAGGACAATTTTCACAAGATGTTTTCAATATCAGCTTCAGTTTCTAGAGTGAGACATTCATTGAGGGGAACACTTTTCTTTATAAGATAATTAACGTTATATAATCATAATACTGCATCAACTCATAATAATTGGATGAGGTCGGGAACACCCAACAGATTGAATGCAGTAAGCATATGTAAATGCTCTTAGCCCCCTCTCTTTCCCTTTGCTTGTGGGTTATTTTTCTCAACTAGTTCAAACCCAAACAAACAAACACATATAAAGTTAGGGAATTCAAATGTGTCTCATGGAGAAATAGGATTGGAGAGTATTGATTTGTGTATGTGTGTGTGTATGTATATTTCCCAAGATGTGGCCAATAGCAGATTTATCAGGGCGACGCAGGCTGGCAAATTATTCCAAATAGGAGAATCAGTCGCTCTTGCCTTTGATCTCCCTTCTGCCTCCTCTCTAATTGTATCCCTCCTTCTTTTCCCTGCTACACTCCGTCTATCCTGCACCAGTATTCATCTTTAACTCTTTCCCCTTTGCTTCCACCTGCATGTAGCCAGTTCGGTCTTTTATACAATATCTATATGTGAAAGGACAATGTTACAGTAGGCTTTTTGTAATCCTTCTCTCCCCTTTATGCACTTAATTATACTTGGGAATGCCCTTATTAACATTAATTCCCTGCATTTCTAGCTGTTATTATCATTACAACTACATGCCTGACCCAAAACCATGAAATCTGAATTTAAACCAAAGATGTTTTTATTTGCAAGGCCCAAACTCAAAATGGCGTTTCCAAAGACATAACTGTAAAGCCTCTCACTAAACACACTTTGATTACCAAGCCCTTTGGCAGTGTCCCACAGGCTGTTTAAGAGCTGATTATGGGCTACTGCAGCCTGGTAGGATTCCCGGCATGTCAAAGGATTTAACAACATCCAAATCACTGTCTAAGTCCTCTTCCAGACTGGCGTGTCAGACATTTGCACAGATAAGGCTCCAAGAGACGGTAGGTACAGCTACGGGAGGAGAAACAGCAAAGAAATAGCTCATTGAGACATGAATACTAATTAAGATCTGTTGGAAATGAGTTGAAGAGTAAATCAGATATAGGAAGATGGCCCATCGCAGTGTCCCTTAAGGTCAAAGTTATGTCTTCAAATTGCTTGTTTTGTTTGACCCAAGACTTTCATTTTATAATGGTATCAAAGCGAGAAATATTCATATTAAAAAGTGGGAAAAAACAGTTGACGTTCAGCATTTGTGCTTGTTGTTAATTAATGTTAACAACATGTCAAATTGTTATTTGTTAATTGTTGAAAGAATCCGTTCAGCACTATGTTACCACCGTGCACAGTAGCAATGCCGTTTGAACTCTGGCTGTGGTTTTATTGTGTCATGTGGTTATCTTGTTTTGTGGTTACAGAACAGTCTTTTAAGAAAGAGTTATCGTATTATTAACTCTGGCTTTAATGCAAGGTTTTGTGCAGAGTAGGGTCTGGTGGGACCACGTACAAACATGCATTGAATCACACACACTTCTCTAGCACACATACCCATAATAACTTGCACAGGTCACACAGACACACTCCGGCTTGATTCAGCGATTTTGTTTGATTTACACTGTGGGAAAGTCCCCAAAGAGAGGTTTAAATTAATGGGGTAATTATACACTCCGAGAATAAAGCAGCCACACTCTTGATTTATGCACACTCTTAAACACACTCTGATTTATGCACACTCTAAAACACACTCTGATGGGACAGATTGGGTCTTTGCTCCAAGGACGAATGCTCCTCTTTCTTCTCTCGGGTCTCCGGCTCCATTCACTTCCTCATATCTCCCCCCCCCCCACCCTTCTGCTGCTGCTGTTGCAGAGACACGTTCTGTTCCCCGGTCAGCCAATCTCCGTCTGTCTGCCTGCAAGAGGCTGGCTGACCTACTGCCTATTACACGCTCCCTGTTCAAGTGCAGACTCACTGGGGAGCTGCAAACATTACTACTGTGCAACTACATCCAACAGAATCACTCCTTCCAAGCCAAAGACACACACACACACACACACACACACACACACACACACACACACACACACACACACTGCTGCATAAAAAAACCCCGACACCAATGGAGGCCATGTATCATCATGCGACATAGTGTCATGATAAATGCAGTGAAGAAGCAGTGTATTAGTCATGTTGTTAGTGGTGCAGCCCCAGAGGAGGAGCCCCCTTCATCAGTCATGGAGGTAGAGGTGGGGGAGAGAGCAGCTATAGGACCTCCCTCATCACGACAAACAGCATCAAGGAGGTGCTCAGCTTAAAGACTGACTCACAGTGAGATTTGCAAATTGGGAACAACAACACACAATAAGTTTCAATTGTTACACTTACATTTTTTTGTAAGTGAGTCAGCCTGCGATGGTGAGACGAGCACAGCCCACCAGCTGGAAAGCCAACAGACACTTGTTTTTCATATATAAAGAATACTTGCATGTGTGGGCATGGGTTTCTGCATTCATGTGTGTGTATGTGTGTATTTGTGGTTTGTTCAGTGATAGAAACTTAAATGCTGAACTGAAGGTAATGATGCAGTACTCTCCACCTCGAGGCCCACAGATGCGCAGCAGAAGGCAGCTGGGCTTCAGCTGAGACAGCACTTTCACTCAGTCTGACAAAGTCAAGCTCTCTTCCTCTATCTCTCTCTCCCTTGCTCTCTGTAATCCAAACTTTGAAGACTGCATTTGCTAACACCATATTCCCCCACGCAGCAGCCACATTATTTTTCTCTGATCGCATTCATTTGACATAAAGCTTGATGAAAATGCAGAGGTGTCAAATAAAGCACAAATTACCATGTGACAGCATGGAAGCAGGTAGAATCGAGTTGCAGTAGGAAGCAGAGGGAGGGACAGCAAGTAACGGAGTGAGGGAGTAGCTTAGAGCAATCCCAAAAAGGAGAGCGGTAAAGCTATAAGTCTCGGGGGAATTTGAAAGCCACAGAAATCCAGTTGCGGATATTAAGAGGCTTAATCTAAGAGCTTGCTGAGTTTTGCTGTGTGGGCCCCATCACTATCATCCTTGACAGAGGTTAAATAGGCGACGAAGGGGGATAAGGAGGAAAGGAAAATAGGGCAGATGGGAGTTAGGACGAGAATAGGAGCCGTGTATCATTATGAAAAGCCTTGCATGCTTTCATAGGAGACTTAAACATTTACATGGAGGCACAGGTGTGTCTGTGTGCGTGTTCTTCAGCTTCTGTGAAAATCTGCTCAAGCAGCATGTTGGATACAGTCAAAGCCGGGAGCATGTGTCAGACATGAGCAGGGTAACCAGAGTCCATGAGTCATTCATTACATAATTGGACACTACCAACTTTTTTAACTCTAGTGCACGAGTCGGGTTGACATAAAGCAACAAATGCTAAGATGGAAGTCATTATCATCAAGCTGCAGATGTCTCCCATGAGAGAAGAAGAGAGGGGAGTCACAGGCAGGTGGATGAGAGAGAAATCCCCACAGCCTCCTTGGCATTCTTTTCTTCTCTGTGGCATTCCCGCTTCATTTAATGTGCATGTTTTAGTGCACCTAAAATTATTCTATGAGGTGAATTTAACAAAGCCCATAAAACCTTCAGTATAACCGCATTTGTGGCACAGCAGTGCTGCTGCACTTTGGAGCTTCATTCTTGCCAACTTGTCAGAAAACTGAATGCGTCCAGAGCAATCATTCAACCGTACTTCACAGACCAAATGCTGCTTTTTCTCTCAGTTTAGAGATGCAGTGTTCCACGGGGATGACACATGGTTTTGCTCTGTATGCAGAAAGATAATTGCTTTGCAGTGCAATTATGGCTTATTGTGCTATTTTGAATTCAGTGGCAGCTTTCAGGAAAACATTATGTGATAAAATTCAATAAAATGCATTCAGTATATCACAAAATACATTTGATTGCCAAATGAACATGCATTTGAGTTGGAATAAAATGCCATATAAATGTATTTATTCCTGTCTTTGTCTGTGTGCAGGAGGCATAAACCGGGCCGGGGCGGCAGTGCCGACATTCTTGAGGACCCCCACCATGCTCCAGCCCCACCTGGACATGAAGCACTTCATTTCACACCTGCAGTTCCCCATGGAAACCGCCCATCATCCGCACAGCATGAACCTCTTTCACAACTTCAACACGGTGAGAGTTAAAGCAGACACACAGACACACACACATACTGCAGTCTTTTAACTAACCCTGTGCAAAAAGGGACCCCTTCGTAAAACATATATTTTTCTAAATGTAATTTGCTTTAAACTCTCTTTCAAATATTGAGGTGCTACCGTAGTCTTTAACACAGGCCTGACTACAAGGTAATCCTGAAACCGAACCATTTCATGTCAAAACACTCTGTCGTATTTTTTTATTCTGCAGAAAATAAAAGAGCAGTTCTCGGGCCATCCTCATTGCTGTGCACTTCAAACACCACCGTTTGTTTGATGTAGTATTTATTTGAACGGAGAGGGATCTTCCTGTTTCCCCAGGCCCAGACAAACATCTTATCATTTAGATTAGACCGTAGAGAGACTTAGCATTTCACCAACTCAGCATAATATGCCGCCTGTGTCTCGAGACTCCATTAGGGAATGTCAACACATTACTTGTCAGCAATATGTAAAATCAGTGAACTTTGTATGGACTGTATGTGGGGCAGTGCTATTTCTGGTCGGTTTTTGCTACAGTCATTATCTGCATGTGTCAGCTTGGCAAATTTGGCTGCAGTTTGCAAAGGTGCGACATATCTTTTACTAATTGGACATATCTGGCATGTTGCTTTGACCCATATGATACTACAGGGAAAGTTAAACACATTTAACTATACAGTAGATTTAATAGCTCTCCACGGGCCATGACATAGGTGTAAGCATTCCTACTAGTGCTGAAACTGCAGTGCACCCAGCAGACATGGATTAATAGAGATACAGAAATAACACAGGCACTCAGTTTCCACTCTTGCGTCTGCTAGCAAAACCCTATAATCACTCCTGCTTGCTCTTTCTTCATCCTGTATCGCTGCCTCTGGTAGACTCTATACATATCTCCTGTAACATCCCTCCGCTCCCCATTCTCCTCCTCAGAACGTTAACTACGTCTGAAGGCCCACAGGGACACTGTGAATCTTAATAGCTGTTGCTGATGATGACATAGTGCACACTGAGTGGTGTTTTACAGTCCTGTGCCAGAAGATGGGGCCATAGGAGAGAGTTGGAGGACCGCATGACCTTACAGATTTACTGCATTTCGGCACATACGCATAGGCAGTATAATGTGTTTACTGCATTGCATTAAAAACAATGGACCCACACACTCACGCTGATGGTACAGTAGAAACGTGTGTGATGCCTGAAGCATCGTTCACAATCACAGTTGTTTTATTTGTGGCATATAGACTTGCCTTAAACTATATATTTGATCTGTGAAAATGCTAAAATAAAAAACATTGGTTGCTGCTAATGAGGGATGTCTCTTGATGTTTTCCTACAGAGGGAATCCTGGCCCCTGAGTTTCTCTGAGTTGTTATGCTTTAGTTCACAGGAAGACCTAGAGTGATATAGTAAGCGTTTGCGGCTCTGTTTACATCACTGACAGTATTTTATGGCTTGTAGGGGCTTTTAGACAGAAGAATGTTTAAACAATCAGAGCATGACTGCTTTGGTATCCTCTTTCTCATATTACTGCCTGAATGGAGAATGAACTAGGATTATTATCCCTCCCGGTGCCCGTCTGCACCAACACACTGTAATAAGTAATGATATGCTCACTATTTCAATGAAGACCCAGCATTATAGCTGCAATAATATTGAGAGATGTCCCTGCATTAAGCTAGCAGCTAGTTATTCTATCATTCTCTCTTATTAGCTGATCTGTGCTGAGTTTGTATAGTCTTAATGAGCCTCACATTGAGGGTTATTAGTCTCATAGCAGACGAATAGCCTCTCCTAAAGCCATATACAGCTTTAATGGTCCTCTAATGTGATTTGTCCTCTACCTGCCTGTCTCTCTCAATGTGCCTCTAGACAGTGACCAGGCTGAATTATTTATCTGCAGCAGCTGCTCCTGATATAGACGCATGCTCACACACCTCTGAGCCAAGATGCATGCACTGATGTGGGCTTTCTCAGGCCGCAAAGTCAGGAGTTTCTGATGAAGGTGTCCAATCATGCAAAGGCGTGTGCAGACTTGTTGAATCCCCCCTGCTGTCCATGCTCCTTGTATCTTGTTTCTTACTCTCTTCCTAAACAACTCTTATACCAGCAATAATCTCCACCATATTAATTGACAATCATTTCATCACACCTGTGCCCATAGGTTCAGACTTAAAAAAAAGGAATCATTTAGAGTTTATTTTGGGCTTTATCAGATCAAATGTGCACCCAATGATATCTGGCTGCAAGGCATCACATATACCTTTGAACCATTGAAACCAGAGAAGAAATAGTGTGTGTGTGTGTGTGTGTGTGTGTGTGTGTGTGTGTGTGTGTGTGTGTGTGTGTGTGTGTGTGTGTGTGTGTGTGTGTGTGTGTGTGTGTGTGTGTGTGTGTGTGTGTGTGTGTGTGTGTGTGTGTGTGTGTGTGTGTGTGTGTGGTGTGTGTGTGTGTGTGTGTGTGTGTGTGTGTGTGTGTGTGTGTGTGTGTGTGTGTGTGTGTGTGTGTGTGTGTGTGTGTGTGTGTGTGTGTGTGTGTGTGTGTGTGTGTGTGTGTGTGTGTGTGTGTGTGTGTGTGTGTGTGTGTGTGTGTGTGTGTGTGTGTGTGTGTGTGTGTGTGTGTGTGTGTGTGTGTGTGTGTGTGTGTGTGTGTGTGTGTGGCTAGGGAGCCACTCTAGTGGCTGATGATGACATTTGATAGATGGTGTGAACTTGGGGAAAAGGGGGAGAGTTGAGCAGGAGGAGAGTGGGACACACAATCCTCGCTGCATCTGGACAGATAGAGTATGCCTGAAGAAGGGGGGAGTGAGAGAGAAGGGGAGGAGAAAACTGGAAAGCAGACTAAGGGACATGCACTTTAGGGAAGCGTGAGGCAGAGAGAGAGAACATATCGAAGAGGAGAAGGAGGCTAAACTAAAGGGAAAGGAACTTGTTAGGTGATATGTCAGTGAAATAACAGAGTAAGGCAGATATTTGAGATATTCCTTACAGTAGACACTTGCTTCTTCTCTTGACGCTTTTCAAAGAGAAGTAGGGTGCCAGAGGAGGGAAAACAAAGAAATCGTAGCTGGCAATGCATCACTAGGCACAAGTCTTCTAAGTGAGTTACTTTGTATTCAGCATTGACAACCAACAAACCAGGGCGCTGAATGAGTGAGGAAGGTGCACCACACACTCTCATTCTCGCACATGCTGAGGCTCAAACACACACTTCGTCCAGCAGTACACATACAGGAGGAGAAATGCAGCTCCAAGTTTCTACAGATACACAGGAGAAGAACGTGAGTACCTAAATGCTTGGAGCTTTTTTGCCGTTCTTTTGTTTGTTTTACACCCAATCTGGGCACGACTCAAAAGTATGTAGAACCAAGAGCTTCAAAGGCTTTATTTATCTGGCACAGAGCAGACTGTGGAGTGACTGCCAGAGTGGTCCCACCGAGAGTCACAGAACAGTGCATCCTTCGCTGCTGGAATCCAACCATTCCAAACGTTTTGTCGCAGAGTACTGATCAAGCACACTAGAGGAAGAGGGCAAAAACAAATCATGAGGGAATGAAAAATAAAGAGTGGAGGGCAGTGAGAGTTGAAGAAAAAGACATGCAGAGAATGTCGGTGAGTTAGGTCCTTGCTGTGGTGAAGTGAAGGGAGATGCTTGGTTGCTCTTTGGGCTGTTTCACCTCAGAATAAACTCTGTATTAACAAAAGGCATTCTCCTGTTAGTCTCTTAAGGCCATGTGGAGCTGTTGATGTGACCGCTGAGTGATGCTAAAGTCAGCGGTCTATGTGGTTTACTCACATCGGCCAGGGCTCTCACCACATTGCAAACTGCTCCATACTGACATGTTTCCAAAACTCACCCAGACTTCTCTTATGACAACTGTTCACAGTTCAAATGTTAGAGAGGGATTAGTCTTAAACTATGAATGCAGGAAACACAGCCAATTGGAATGACAGTTGATAGTTTTCTCAAAATTGGTCAAAGCAACTTGAGTGAGTTTTGGAAGATCCCTCTTCACTTAATCACATGGCTCAGCTACTATTTCATGAGGACATGTTTTGGAGAACATGTGGGTAAGAAGCATGTGAACTGCCGTCCAAAAAGGATTGTTGGCAGCTGGGCGTTGTTTTTAACAGCTGAATATACTGAATGGGTCATATTCGACACACACCCTGAGTACTGATTCATGTGTACAGTTACCTCACACAGCCTGTTCAGCTCTTATTAAACTTGATGATGGGTCACACCATGGACACCCGCAAACAGTATTTACCCCACAACCTGTCAGTTAAGTCTGCTTATCATATGGGAGTTGGGGTGAAATCTAGCAGGAGTTCAAAAGAATAGACCAAAAATGTATGTGGATTTCTTTGGTTGTATTTAGTCACTTTTGAGGTATTCATGCAGTTCCTCCCCATACTATTTGTCCACCAACGTCATTGCTCAACATCCGCCCCTCCCCTTCTATCCATCTAAATTCACAGCAGCAGTAGAGCCTCCTTCAGGCTGTTTCTGGGGAGAGAAATAGAGGGAGTCATGGAACGTGGAGTATGAGAAAGAGAGCCAAATGAGATAAGAATGTGCGATGTGAGGATGTCCGGCCTGGGCCTCTTTTTTTTCTTTTTCTTTCTCTCTTTCTTTTTTTCTGGGCTATTTCCCATTTCTCCCTCCTTTTCTCTTTCTATCTGTCCCAATCCATCTTCCTCTCCCACTGTCTCATTCATTGGCTCCCCCAGATGGTGTGTTTTTGTACCGTCCTGTCACCCAGCTTAATGTCTTGGGCCTTCTCCCCATTTCTTTCTTTCTGTTTACCCTGTTTTCTTTAGAGTTGCTCAGTAACATGCAGCATGCAGAAATGTAAATGGTTTGTCTATAAGTTATGAGAAAATGTATGTTAGCTGCTCTTTTGTCTCCCTCTCTTCTCACGTCTTTCCCATTTGCATTTTAGATTAGACAATGGCTCTGGTTGCAAGATAGTTTAAGGAAAGTTTTGGTGATAAGCCAAATTAAATGTGGGGACGAGCCATATTGAGTCATTTACAGTCTGTCATGCTCACCAAAAAAAATCTCCGGAACATTCCCTCGTGCCTTATGAATTCAAAACACACAGCATCATATATCATATCCTTTTGTCCTTCAGGCCAGGTCTTCTGTTTCTCTTTATTCCTTTCGAGTACCAATGCTGTGCCGAATCATCTTTAACATATGGACTGTTTTAGCTGCAGACATAGTGCCAGACAATAGTCTGTGATGAAATACCACCATAGCTATTGACCCTAGACTAATACTAAGGTCAATTAACAATAATCACTAGATAAATGCAGCTTCAAACACAGATACATATTGGAATAGAGCCTTTTTAAAATGATGCGGGCAGGGTCTTTACTGTCTGGGACAGAATTGAAGTAGGTGGCTTAGCCACTGACACGTTGGAGAGCTCCTAAAGCGAGTCGGTTAAATGTATACGAGGTGCTTAACACCTTGTATGATGGACGTCCCAGCTGAAACAATTAACACGAGGACAGCATGAAGCTACAACCTGGTCAGGAAAGAAGGTTGAGCTTGGGCAGGATGCAACAGGTTGTAGCAACATGCCGTGAACAGCACTATTTGCTTGACAAAACACAAACGCGCTCTTGTCCATGCACTTAATCCACTGCTGTGTGATCAGTTTGAGATTTGGATCCCTCTACTCACCCATCTAATGCAGAGGGCATCACACGTTCACTCCTTATATCACAATGATGGATGGACCTGTTGACTTGTGGCACTGGGACACCTGGACGAGTGCTCCAGTATTAATAGTCACTGGGTCTGGATTATAACTCACAGATTTCTCTGTCATTTTCTCTACCAGATGGATCCGGTGCAAAAGGCCGTGATCAACCACACCTTTGGAGTTCCACTGGTCAAGACCAAGCGGCCGGTCATCTCATGTAACGTCTGCCAGATCCGCTTCAACTCAGAGGTACAGTACAGAAACATAATAAACCCAACACATACACAGTATTTCTCCCACTCCACATCTCCATTTCCCATGTGGCATTAGATATGCTGTATCTTGCTGTTTGTACACATTCACTTTTCAACTCATATTTTTGCTTTCGGAATGTGTTGGAGGGCTTTCTATCTGTTTGCTATCCTGAGAGTGGGTGTTGACAGAGGATGTGGTACATTTGTTTGGGCTATGTTTTGGCAGTTGCGACCCCATTGGAATTTAATTTGTTTCAAGACGGTGTGCAGTTAGTAGAAGCAATAAGCACTGCAGCACAAAGCTGAGGAGGCTGCTGAAGAAGCTGAGAGAGAGGTAGAGGAAGAGGACTTTACCTGCATTTTCAAACAGATTTTCTCTTGCCAATCAAAGCTGGCAAAGCTTGATTTAAAATCCTCAACATGTGTTAAGTTAATTTCACACAAGCATGTCATGAAGTGATAATTTCTTTAAAATGAACAGAAATGTTCATGCTTTTGTATAATTCTATAATTTTAACAGCAGTTTCATTTGTCCATATGGTGTAGTTTACATCTCAACTCATAATGGGAGTTTAATGGCACATTATACCCATGGGCAACTTGCACACATGACTGATGACAAATTAAAGAAAACAAACATCATATGGAAGTATTTTACGTGTAGTGACACCAATCCATTCTCAGTCTTTTCTTCCTGCTGTGGATGAATAGGATAGACACATGACAACATCAGTGCCAAATGTCATGTGCGCAGTGTATCATTTGGCTGTGATGCTCCCTATTCAGTGGTGCAGACTGCAGGGCCAGGGCGTACATTCAGCCACAATACACAACATTAAGGAGTGGACCGGTGCTATATATACTCCACAGGTCTACAATCATGGTTTCCATGTGGTCATGGAGCTGCAGGCCTGTAATTTTGAGCCTACACTTTGCAGAGTTCCCATCTGTATATCTTCATAGGTAGAGGAGGCAGTCATTCAAAGTTGTTTATATGATAACAAATGTTGAGCCCCACAAGGCAAATACTGGCTTCTTTATTAAAAGCTTGAATAAAGTTAGAATATATAGAGTTAATCTGTGAAGAATTCAAATATTTAACTTAATGGTTAAATAGTTGTAATGACAGCTTAAAGGAAAATACATGACTTAACCCTGAGAAGCACCTAATGCATCCAGAGTGTTTTCCATCACATCCAGCCAAATATAACCAAAATAATCACTTTATGATGTATTGAGAAGTTCTGACTGTAAACCATTTGCAGAGTGGAACGACAAATAATGTTTAAAGCAGTAGGCTGCACTATTTGTTTTCTGACATGAGTGATATCTGGCTATAACCTGCCTCGTCATGGACAGATCCCTCCTCCTTACAGTGCCAACACTATGAAAGATTTAGGAAAACTCCACATATGACTGTCTCCTTTTGTATTTTTGTTTTGTTTCTTTCTCTTGTTCATTTAAGAGAGACTTGGCATAAGGTAGCATAAAGCATAATAAAGGTCCATCTTATCTTATCTTATAAAAACATTGTGACAACAATAAACAGACTAAGATCACTTTCACAAACAAAAAATTGCATAACATATGTATGCAGTAAAAGAGATTAAGCTAGTTGCTGTAGGAGGAAAAAACAGGCATGACTTTCCAAAACTAGAATAATTATTTGGAGGCATATGCTTAGGTTTCATGAGCATTCAGTCCCCTCTGAAGCTCTAGTTCTGTTTATTTGTGCACTTCTTTGTAACAATGCTGACACCTACTGCTGCCTTGGCATTCCTTCTGGCTCCTGAATGATAAAGGACATACAGTACACATCTCACAAATGTGAGTCCTTACGATTTTGATAGGCAGGACTACAGCACTTCTCTGCTGTCATTGTTAGTTTTGCTGCCAGTGTTCACAAGAAAAAACAGGCTCTGCAGTACATCAGCAATGTCAAACTTTTGTGTCATTTGTGCTGTCCTACTAACTCGGCTGGAGAAAGATTGTCCTTTTATATCGCCATGGAACGACTGCCCACCCACACTGTTCTCTTTTACATAATGTCAAGTCGGGATGAATATTTCATGGTTGAAAATAGTACAGAGGGAAACACATCGAAGAATCCTGTGCTACTTCCCCCGCCCCGTTTATCCAGTCTGTGTCTCTGTCTTGAGAAAAAAAAGATTATTATATTGCCCTTGATGTTGACATTTCTCAGTTTTTATCTGCCATCTGTGAGTTGATTGGTTAGTTTAGGTCAGAGGAGATGCGAGGAGGCTTACCATGTAATGTCATGATCAATGTATTTGTCTTCAAAGGATCCAGCTCTGCCTTCTAGCTTGCACCTCGTGCTCCCCTCATCTCACGCATCATTTTGTCATCATTCATGCGTCCCCATTTGATCTTTTTCTCTCTTCCTCATTCTTTCTCTGCATGTCTCTCTCTCAGCAACCCCCATCCCCCCTTTATATCTGTCTCCCTCTCTAATGCTGCATTATTTACAGTGTGGAAATGCCTAAAATTGCCTGCCACTACTTATTATAAGATGCATTCGTCAAGGGCATGGATTAATGTCTGGCTCTGACAGCCCCAATGCATCTTGGGAAAGTCGGAAAGAGGAGACTTAGAGGGAAAGGAACGGAGAAAAGGATCGAGGTGGGTTTTTGCCCGGCTGTCCTTGCTTCGTGTCGTGGTGCGAGGTGTTGAACGGTGGTTTATGCACAATAACCTTGGTGGCGTGCTGCATTAGTGACATCATAGACTCTGTCGCGCTGCATTGACCAACGTCACAGCTGCTGCAGCAACACTATAGGCTGATGTACGTCCCTTTTTCTTACTCGCTACTTCCCTGCCCCCGCTACCCTTTTATAACTCTACCCTCACTATACTCGGTTTCCTGTGTATTGTCCCAGTCTATCTGTCTATCTTTTTTCTTCCTCTTTTGTCTCATCTGGAGCTACAGCTGGAGCTAGTCTGTGAAATCACTGCTTTTCCCTCAGATTGGTAGTCATGCTGGAAGACACTTGTTCAGTTTGAACCCTTTACATAATGAAACAGAGGTTGATGCGTATTTCAGCTTTTCCTCTCTCTAAGATTTGTCTCTCTTATATTATTCCCCTCTTCATTCTCAGCTCGTTACATCACCCTCCTGGTCTTTTCCTTGTCTTTTTTTAAATTCCCGGCTACACACTTTACCTCCTTCACATTTTCTTCATTCCCTTTCACTTCTTTCCATCCAGGACCTCACACTGATACTCAGCTGCTTGGCAATTGATCCCCTTGACTTGGTTGGAAAGGTTAAGAGAGCCTCTGTGGCAGGTTTTCCAGAAACCATCTTACACCCTTCTATCTCCACTTGTTTCTTTTTTCCATCTGAGAAATCACTTCTCTTTTAGCAGCCCTCCCGACACACCCCCTTCTTCCACCCATAGCCCCCTCCACCTTGATCTGCAGGCTTTGCTTAAGCAGCTACTTAAGACCCCTTTGACAGGGTCAGTACAGAGGGTCTGCTATATCTAGAGCCCAGTTTGTTATCAAGATTTACAAGAAACATGTTATCTTCTAAATCACTTCAGTCCCTGCCCCAGGTTTACCGTGCCAGATCACGTCCTGGATGCCATCACAAACACACACATACAAAAAACACACATGACTGGGCTCAGGGACGTTACTCATCACCGACTGCCCTCTGCCAGACTATCCCTACGTCTGAGCCTGTGGTCAGTGTGATGTCTGAAATTCTCCAAGTCTTTGACTCTCCCTGGCAACTAACTGTAATCCAGCAAATTAATAATCATCTTCAACATTGGTCCCTCGATAGAAAAAATATTTGGCTAGGACAGACTGGCATGACACTTCTGCTTAGACAACATACTTCAGACAGCAGGGAACTATCTGATATAAAGTGTCCCTATTAGCAAGAGCCTATTTGTGCTTCTAACAGACCGACAATTGAGCCATGATAAAGGGGAGATAAAGAATGGGCGAACAGATCTATGGTTACATGAATACTCCTTGTGTGTGTTTCTGTGTATGTATGTGTTTTTTTCAACAGTCAACGGTGAAGCTTAACTAACTGGCGACAGATTAGTATAGCAACCCTGAATCTCATCCGCCATGTTGCCACATACCTCTGTGCAGACACACAAACATACACGGAGTACATACAGACTCCCCTGTTGTCTCTCTCATGATGAATGACTTGTCTGTGTTGTTTACTCTGTGAACAAACACATTAGCTAGTAGCTAGCCTTTCATCAGGAGATTAGCCGCACTAGCTTATGTAATATATCTCTGCCCATTGTTTTCTCTGCTGGAATGCAGAAAGATCTCCAGTCCCTGGAAACCTCCAGACTCAGGGTCCGGATCCACATTTTATCTTTCTATGAGATATTTCAGACAGGGTCTTTGCATGCATAGTCTGTATGTACTGTATAGGTCTGGGATTGTATTTGAGCCTGACCCTGTTAGGCAGCAGCTGAAGGCCATATGTATGTTGCAGGAGCACATGTCTGCCTCCGAGGCTCTCAGTGATAATGTCTACTTCTATTAACATGTGTGTATTGTAAGAGGGAGGGTATTGTCAGGGAGTGACTTATTGGCCCTCCAGGCAGATAGTGTGGCAGCCCACTGACCCCCAGTTGAACTTCCCTTGGCATGTCTGTCAGCATGGTTGTAGTAATGAAAGCTGGAGCCAAGTTTGTATGTAGAGAATTAGACTGCAGAGGACGTATGTCAAGACTTTGAGCTTCATGATAATGTATTGTTAATTTGAAAACTGGACAATAGGATGACGAAGGGACAAGGGGCGCAGACAGGTCAATATCTCAAATGTCTCTCTCTCTGCATCATTGCACCTTTTTGTTCCAAAGCTTGTTATATATTTATCCACTGTAAATCTTCCTGCTTTTTATGGCTCCAGTCCCAAGAGTACATTGAATAACATGCTATCATAATGACACGCATGCATGTGTGTGTGTGCTGGTGTCACAGTGACTCTAATCCAGCCTGCAATGTTTATTCACCTGTTGGCATTGTTGTTCACTCACACCATAACATGTATATTTCCATGTTCCCCTATAGAGCCAGGCAGAAGCCCATTACAAAGGAAACCGGCATGCCAGGAGAGTCAAAGGCATCGAGACCTCTAAAAGTCGCCCTCAGGAGGGGGACAAGCCTCACACTGTGCCCCCCACCTCCTCCCCTTCTCCACCCGGCGCCCTTGGCCCCGCCACAGACAACGAGCCCAGCAAAGCGGGTGAGACATCAGAAAATATAAAACATGGTATGATTTATAAAAATAGTAGGAATGGAAACAGAAAACGTTTCAGAATCTGTGTGGGATGTTTAAAGGCTTATCGTTTTGCTGAAAATTGAAGTGGAAAATATGCAAGAATAACAAAGGCATCTAATCACAGTGGCTTTACAGTTTGTTGTTCTGAGCATCTCGGCTCTCTGTGTGGTCCGACAGGGTTGCAGCAGAGCTTATGGCCAACGGTTACAGTCACACACAACTATTTGCACTTTAAATGGGCTCACATATTCACTCACATTCTTTCATCAAACCAAACCTTTAGGTGCCAGGACTTTTTATGCTTGATTATCTGCTTCATGTCGACATAACTATTTGTAACAACAGATTAAGTGTATTTGAATTGAAAATAAGATAAGATAAGATGGACCTTTTATTTTTCCCTGTGGGGAAATTCAGGAGAAAGAAATGCGTTTAAAAAAATAACTTTAAAGCGTTGGGTCACTATGGATAAACTACAGTTTGATAGTCATGGTGTATTTGATGAGAACAGTTTATGATCAGATACCCGAAGGGGAGTTTATACGAATTGTTTTTATCTAAAAACAAGTTTGAGAAGCCTAAAACAAAACGCTGTCACAAACCTAACAAAATATAAATGTATTCTGACTAATTTAGTTGAATATAATCAGTTGTATATGCTGGTAAAAGAAGCAACATACTTACAACTGTTAGTGTTAGCTACTTGGCCAAATATTATATATAGTATATGTATCTTAAGTAAATGTATACTGTCATCAGTGATACTATTGCATTATTCATACAGGTCATAGGCCTTTTTGGCTAAGGGTTTCAACGTTAAATGATCTAATCTGTTGGACAGCCGAGTAGCACAGAGAGGAGTAGACCAACCATACCAGATGTCAGGTGTCCCGTTTTCTGAATGAATAGGTTGATCAAAGTAAAAGCATCATTATTGTACCACAGTCTATTCTCGTATTAGTCCAGTCCAACCACAGCAATGCTTTGTCTGCTGAGCTATGTTAAACTGGTTTAGTGTCCTTCTATTTAGGCGGTGAGCAGGTGAGTTGGCATAAACATGGTCTTGAACATGGTGGTTCAAGAATCCCCCCTGTGATGTGGACATGTGTGTGTGTGTATGTGTTTGCACACTTCTTAGTGAGTGATTGAAGTGCAATACCATTTGCCACAGAGTCAAAATAGACCATGTTGCCTGAGCCCAGGGTGGTGGTAATGAGTGCAAAGACTTATTGAGAAAAAATAAAGATGACACCAATCTAATCCAGCATCTAAAAGCACAAAGACAGCAGATGATCTGAATTTAATGAAGAGTAATTCACTGTTGAACGATTAATTTATTGGTAAGTAAGGACGTAGGGAAATGCTCAAGGTGTTGCAAGCTCTTTCTTTAGCAGTATCTCTTTAGCGCTGTCTCTGTTGTCTCAGTGTTACTTTCTCTCTCCCTGTCTTGCTCATCTTCCTATTTCGAGCTATAATTCAGACGGAGAGTGCTGTGTGCCCTTGTCCTTTTTCCACACAGATTTTGTTTCCATTCCCTCAGTGTCACCACTCTGTCCTTGGATCAAAGACTAGGCATTGAATAGACCGGCCATGTTTTGGTGACATTTACAGAGGTCTCTGTAGCCGACTGTTTACCAGAAATGGGCACTAGTATTCACAGGAGGGAATAGAGCAAACACATTAAATGAAAAGAGGAAACACAGGTCCAGTAAAGGCCAAAATGCAACATCCTACCAGAGCAAAGACCTTAGCATTTACCTGAGACTTTTTCTATGCGCAAAAATAACACACCATTTATAGTATTTGATCCCAGAGTAGTAGGAGGGCCAGTCCTTTTCACTCTCTTTCCCTCAAAGGGGGGATCTGAGATCAGCTCCAGGCCTGTCGCCATTAGTAAGACTTCCCGGGGCGAACTCCAAAAGATTGAGGAGCCAAAACAAGCCTGCCATGACCGATATCTGAAAGTAGCTACATGTGAAAGAATGCCTTTTTCCATCCAAGCCTCTTTCTCGTGACCCTAGAACTCTGTCACTTCCTGGTCTTTCGCATGCACGGTTGCTTGTGAGTTTGTGAATGTGTGTGTTTATGCATGTGCTCAGTGTGATCCTGTCCCTCTGCTTCATGGTAGGGGGACAGAACTCAGGCAGCTGTGTGTGTCTTCAACTGGGCAAGCGGGAGAAGGGACACTGTTTTAGCCTGAGAACATCAACATTGGTCACTCTGGGGCATTCACTCTGAAACGGACAAATACAATGCATGCACACATACGCAAACAATATTGTCAGGCCAGTGCAAGCACACAGATGGAAGAAAGAGGAGAATATTTCCCACAGTGCAAATCTCCTAAAACACCGAGCAGTTGTTGTTGTGGATTTGTTTGTGACTGATCTCTTTGCAAAGGATTTTCTGAAATATTTCCTTTGAGACATTCAAATATGATACAGTGTAGTAGTACAGACTAGCTTTGGTCTGATAACCTTACACTGCATCACTTCTCATTACCATATCAAATGCATCCAGCAGTGATGACAGTATATCAGGACTTATTGTGACCTTGCTGATGGCTGGAACAGTGAAAGGTCACTCATGTCAGTGCTGATGGTTCTTTAACCTTATGGCTATCAAAACAGGTCTCAAGTTTTATAGCACTCGTATAGTTTGCTGTCATAGTTGCCCCTACAGAGGAGGCCCTTGGCTTTGGGGGATTTGGTCTGGTGAGCCGAGGGGTTTGGCTGAATGACGGAGAGACAGCTGTTTACTTGTAGAGAAACTCTACTCTTCCCTCCCCCTTTCCCTTCCTCGCCATCCCTCTGCTGTCTGACACTCCTACTTTAATGAAGGGCCATGTTAAAACCACCCTGACATTATAGCACTCTTTAGTCCACACAAACACTCACAGGCGCACACACACTAGTTCAATTAAACAGATGACTTTCATGTGAAGGCTAGGGTTACATGGCTATGATGAGGTTACTTTAGTATTAAGTTACACAGAGCTGATGTGCTTTTCACGCTCCGTCTATATTTGTTGTTAGTCTTGGAGTTTTCAGGGAATTCAGCAGTTTTAGTTTTCTTCTAAAGTAAGCTATTTGATTAAATCAACCTGAATAGTCAACATAAGTATCTTTTACACATTACTTCATGCTGTGTGTGTGTTTGTGTGAGTGTGTGTGCTTGAGCGTGTGTGTGAGAGCGTGTGTGAGAGTGTGTGTGTGTGTGTGTGCGTTTTAACTGAGCATGTGTGCGTGTGACTCAGAGTTTGGAAGAAGGCCAGACTCTGGAAAAAGGCACCAAACTGCATTATAAATGAGGGTCGGCTCACGTTGGGGCAGCATTAGGTTACTTACATCTTAAATCATTAAGAATAGGCACTAGTGACAGACGTCATACTGCTTAAGTAGCCCTGAATCCTGATAGCTCTTTCTCTCACAAACACACACAAAAACAATTCCACACAACAAACAGACACACATAGAAACATGGACCTACTTACAAGTTATCATCACCACAAAGTCAATTGGCCAGTTCTGTGTTAAACCTCATGGTATTTTCGGCTATAAAAGTATCTCACACGAATGCAAGTCTCTAATCTGTTTACTGGGTTTAAATTGCACATCTTTCATTCCTCATGTGACATAAACAAAGCATATCCAACTCTGCACAACGTTCCCCCTGCACCCAGGATTGATAATAGCAATAACCATGTTCTTCTGCTTTCAACATTACAATTTATATAACAACAAAAAGCACACTTGTTTCTGGTTTCGGATGCTAGGAAATCTCTTGCATTCTTTAATGCAACAAATAGCTTTTAGGCACTGTTTTATAATATATCTTATGCCCTACAATCAGATATTTACTTACATTTTCAAGAAGCTATCACAAAATAGACAATGCTTAACACTTAAAGGCAGATCAAACTATGTTTAAACTTGTACAATATGAACTGCTCTCAGTGATTCGTGGAGAACCTGACACCTTCTCCCTGTATTTTCATATGTTGTTGTGTTTGGGGAAGTTCCTTGGCGTCAACATATAAACACGTAGTAAACCAATGCCAGATTGTAAGCACTCATCAAAGAGGATGCTACAAAAATGCGTGGCACAGCGTTGAAGAAATGTAAATAAAGTGAAGCGAAACAGCAAGCAGACAAAGCTTGTTCCAAATCGATAGGGGGTTGACTTTCACCTGCTGGCGAGCACATATCTCTATCTATGGTCATGGGGCGTGCACTTCTCGTGTTGTTGAGCCGCAGAGGAGGGGCCAACTTTGAATATTGTGTTAACAAACAGCAACTGAAAGATCCTACTCATTCTGCCTTTAAGGAATCAGGATGAACTTTGACTTGTGCTACAAACAAAGGAAGTGGTTTTGATCAACCATATAGATTTATCAACATAACCTCTCCCCATAGACTGCATACTATACATAGCTTTAATTTCCTGAGGTGGATTAAGGCAATGCAGACACACCAGGCTATAGGGAAGAGCATCTGGACTGAGTTATCTCCCTCTGCTGACCTCTCCCAATGAATAATGCCTTCCTCTGTTTGGATATGAGGCCAGCTTTCAGGGAAGGTCAGTTCACTTCCTTATCAATGTTTGATTAGGCTTACAGTATATCCTCATTTTCTGGGGATTCAAATAACTCTGACAGTTGGATTATCAGGGCAAGAAAAACATAACAATTTATCCCCGCCACTTAGAGAATAGCAAATCTAGAATGAGTCTTACATGCATTTCATTTTAGTCAGTACATAAGACAAAGGGAAACACTTTGCTGCTCAGCGAGATTGTAATTTTGGGTTTCTGACATAGACACTGAATTACTGCGGCTATGGAGGCCCCGCAGGGTTAGCCTCAAGCTGAACTGGGTCCGAGGGGGGGTGAGTGCAAAAGGCATTCACTGTGGTATGCGGTGAAGCAGGGCCTGGATGTGATGGTTTTGTACGGCAGACCTCCAGGCCATCATGGATCACGAAATCCATAATTACTATTTGGCCTACCACCTCTACTCCTCCACACTTGATTTTAATTCAAGCCACATGTTATGGACCTCGCGGATTAGGGGTTTGGCATTGCAATGAAGCGATGTGCATGAGTACGTGTCTGTGTGTGGGCAACATTTTAAAACAATACTAGAAAAAACAAAACTACTTCTCGATCATTCCGCCTTCCTGTAGGTTTAAACTCTGCAATCAACCTAACCAGCTCAGGCAGTGATGTGCCAACTTAAGCATGTTGTGAGTCAAAAACCTCTCCATAAAGCACTTACCCTTACACTGCACTTGATCTAGACCTGGTTTATGGACTCCTAAATGCCATATTGAGTCAGTGTAAGGTTTCTTCTTTTCCCTTTTTAACAAAAAATAGATTCAACAAACACAGCCAGCATATTTGCAGCTGGAAACTTCCAGAATATGGAAAGAAAGATAATTTAGATCTTGGATAGCAATGGAATGAAAAGCACTCACAAATATGTCTTAATCCGAAATGCATTGGAGTAGCCAGAGATACATTAGACAAATGACCACGTTGTCACCATAGCTTAACATAATCACAACCCCTGTTGACTGCCATGTGCCAAAATGACCAATCTTATGGAAATCCTTAAAATAGAATTGAGCAGTTAAAGTCAATATTTGTTTTCTCCCTAAAAAATACTCCATGTGACCCCTTTAATACCATAATTTCCCTTTCCTAACCTCTGCACTACATCCTGTGGAGAAGGGTCTTCTGATGGGGGGGAGTTCTGAATACTCCACCCACATTTAGCGGGTCTTTTTTCAGCCAACACCCATTGCTTAGTGAATACCGAAGGCATTGCGTAGGGGAGTGGCTGACCAGAAACATATGTCTGGAAATATATGTATATAAACATGTTGAAACAAGACAAAGTGAACCTCGTGCAATCAAACACAATGCAACAATAAGACAAAAAACGACAGAGGTGAAAGTGAGCAGAGAGCGAAAGGAGATCTCACTCAATGGAATATTCTTTGGACTTCATGGTTTGCACTGTGACAAAGCAAGTGCCATTTCCTCTTCAAACGAGCCAAAAACAACAGGTGTGTTGGAAAGAGTCAGAACATGCACAGGCTGTGGTATCTGTTTCCGATTCCTCTCCTCAGAAACATTTCAATAAGACGAGACCACATCAGTGAAAGAGTGGCTTGAAAACTTCAAAAAACCTTCAAACATATTAAACACGTGGCCATGCGTACATATGGGGTATACAGTACATTTTCCTCCTCTGATCCACTTCACATAACTTAAATTAAAAGGAACTCTTTTTAACCAATTATAGCCAATAAAGGAAATAAGAATCCCTTCCTTCTGCAAGCGCTTTATGTTGGTTTGTCTGATCTACGCAGCAGATTTAACTGGGAGTGGTAAGTCATGTGGTTAAGCAAGGCATAGAGTTTATTTCATGGGGACTGTGCTTCATGGCTGAGTCTAAGGACAATGAAGTCAATAGTAAAACACTTTATTATTTGAGTTATGTACTTTTAGACCACAAAATCTGTTCTTAGATTTTTCTCTGCACTGCATCTGACTTTAATTATATTTCTTCTTTGTTTTTCTAGATGAAACACGACCTCTGTCACAATTAACCGTGCCCCTGCTGGCCCCGGGGCCCCTTACCCCTCTTATCGACCCGCCTGCCATACCCATGGACTGCTCCATGCCCTCGGTGTGCCCCCTCCTGCCCACCCCTACTCCTCCTCTGATCCCACCGTCGTCATCCTCCCCCGGCTGCGGCACTGGCAGCCCCAGCTCAGAGCAGCCTGGATCTGGACCCCCTGTTTCAGGAGCCGTCGGCAGCACGGCCCCCAGCCCGTCCAATCCAGAGACAGAGGAGGACAAGGCCAAGAAGCTGCTGTACTGCTCACTGTGCAAGGTGGCTGTCAACTCCCTGTCACAGCTGGAGGCCCACAACAAAGGTGGGTTATTATATGAGCTCTGATACATTGAAATACTGCTTCTGCTCTGTCCAGAAACACGCTGGCAATCAAACCATGGACAATAAACTGTGGTGATCTTGGAGCTTCTGGGATTAAATATGAGTTTCTGGAGTGGGAACTTTCTCCCCTCTATCTTTTCAGACATGTTTGGTTATTCTCTGTTTACTCAAACCACACTGCTGCTGTTGTTGGAGAAAAAATGTGTTACATCCTGTGTCCTAGGAATTCTGCCAAGAAAGACAAATGTAGCAACTTCTAAATATCATGACTTTCTCAAATGGGTTAAAATAAATACTTTAAAAGTATGAAAAATTTGAAATGGTTGTAAATACAATACACTTGTAGATAATGTCAATACAACAAGACATTACTAGGCTCAGAGAAAACAAAACGTGTCTATTTCTGACAGGAAATTAATTAAAAACACTGGTTTACTATTAAAGTGCTTTCACATTCTCTCGTAAATATTTATATATAAATGAATCAAGTCAGTTGTAATTTAAAATAACACATATTGTCATTATTTCGCTTACTTTTGGTTTCTCAAAGTTGTAGAAAGATAGACAAACATACAGTGAGATATCTGGCTGCCCTGACTGTAGGTTCCATCACAGTTAATGACCTGCCAGCAGAGGGTATGAGAATAACAGTGATCAGCAGATAACTGATCTGTTTGACACTGACCGGCTCGACCTATGTAATCGAGCACTGTTCTACTGAAGCTCTGTCAAGGTGCTGTGTGTGTGTGTGTGTGTGTGTGTGTGTGTGTGTGTGTGTGTGTGTGTGTGTGTGTGTGTGTGTGTGTGGTGTGTGTGTGTGTGTGTGGTGTGTGTGTGTGTGTGTGTGTGTGTGTGTGTGTGTGTGTGTGTGTGTGTGTGTGTGTGTGTGTGTGTGTGTGTGTGTGTGTGTGTGTGTGTGTTGTGTGTGTGTGGTGTGTGTGTGTGTGTGTGTGTGTGTGTGTGTGTGTGTGTGTGTGTGTGTGTGTGTGTGTGTGTGTGTGTGTGTGTGTGTGTGTGTGTGTGTGTGTGTGTGTGTGTGTGTGTGTGTGTGTGTGTGTGTGTGTGTGTGTGTGTGTGTGTGTGTGTGTTCTCTCTCAATGCAGCACCCTGCTAACACACCCCACTTACTTCACCCACGCATTTATAAAAAAAACAACTCCCCCACTCAAACATTCATGATTTGTCTTTGCACCACGCAGCATAAAAACTGTTCCCCATAGCCTGAAGCCTTCCACTTGAGATAGTTTCAGAGGAGGATGGTTTATACGGGTAACCACTGCATGAGGAAATAAGAGAAAAATATGTTATGTGGCTGAGCTCACTACAATACCAGCTTTAACATTCTGTCAGACAGCTTTCACACATGACAACACTGTCTTTTTCTTACCCCTGAGGTGCCCGCTGCTGCCTGCTTTAATCCTTTATGCACTACCAACTTGGCTCTCTGTGTGACCTTGTGTCCCTGTGAGGACAGTTTGTATCTGCGGACCTCCACTCTTTATTATTTATACACTCTCCTACACATTAGAAAAACTACTGAGACACATCAGACAATGAAGGACTGGCCAAGTATGTAACTGTATCCATTTGCATTGAGTACTGTTTGGGGCAAGGAGCTCAGCCAGACATAAAGCAGCCAACAAATACCTCTTAAGGTTTAATAAAGTATAAATCAATAAAAGTGCAATCACTGCCACCATTATTGTTAGATTAACCTCAGTAAGGCTTTTGGAATTGATGCTTTATCCTGCGCTAATTGATTGTATATCAGTCTAACACCTTCACAACAATACATTTGTGTTACATCTGCCTACTAGCATGTTTACAAAGTACACGCACATGTCAGTATCAAAAGAGATCACACACAAAACAGTACAGTGGATTACAGCTAATAAACAAGCCCCTGAGTCACAGCCTGTTGTCAGCTGGCTCCAAAGTTCAACCCCTGAATGGCAAAGACTTGCAAGTCTACAAGTCTATGTAGGAAACAATCTGGAAACAATCACCTTCACTCGTTTTCAAAATCAGAACTGTGTTAGCAGCGATAAAAACTGAAAGCATATGTCATGCAGACATGAGCAGCGTGCATGGCACTGAATTAGAAAGCAGAAAAGACAAAACAAGAGAAAGAATGATGTGTGCGTAAACAGTTTACAGTCAACCTATTTCTGTGTTTTCAAATGTGCCTCGTGTGCTTGTCTGTAGGTCTACACTAAGAGTCAACCTCACAAAGACAAAAAATCCACTGGGCCATCCATTGTCAGACCAAAATAGAACAAAGGCAAAAACAGACAACCCAAGAGCACATTTCTGGCCCCCGAACGAAATCCGTCATCCCGGCCCCTTCCTCCTCAGTGCAGCCCACAGACTCCATGTTCCCCACCCCAACCATTTCTCTCTCTTCTGTAACCTTCACTCTGTTCAAAGGGATTTTAGAAAGTCAGTCAAAGTCAGAGCTGAAGACAGTGAGATGTTTTACTCTGTGGGTAGAGAGGCTCAGGGGTCGATGGGGGAGCATGACTAAATGTTTCAGCCATGGAGAAAATAAAATGTGTGATTATTTAATGAGAGGGTATTCTGGCACACTCTTTGGTGTACTGCAGACCATTGTTAAGGGAAAGCCATGTGTCACAGCACATCTCTCTGTGCCGTCTCCTTTGAAAATGCAGCCCCCTGGGGTGGGATTTGTTCAAATTAAGAAAACAATGCACATGGAAATACTTCATTTATATGCATGAAACATGAACCCCCACAGTTTAGAATCTCTTGCATAGAACATTTTAGCAGGTGGAAATATTTTATGACAACATCTGAGTGAATATCTTCTTTGAATTGCTGAGTAAGTTTTTATTCTGGCAGGAGTCTTGATTGGAATAATAGCAGGGTGACCATTAATAGGTCTGAGTTTGCACGTAAACATATATTACTTGCCAAGAAACACATCTGTTGTGTGTAATAGTTTTAAACAAACCCTTCTGTATTGACTCAAGGCCCTATTTTGATTACTCGGTAGAATGAATAAAGTGTTATATGAACTCGATTTCCTTTTTTTCCCGTTCGTATTACAAAAAGCAATGCTTTTATATGGCTTGTTGAAATGATGCTATGCCATTACATAAATATTAAGTGAAAGAGTAAAAAGTACAGGTGTCATGCTCAGCGCTAAACATTCCAACCAGACAAACCTGCTTCCTATCCTATTATAACTTGGTCTTACATTTCTAATTTTGACATTTACAGTCGACATTATTGAATTTGACAGAAAGGGTTCAGTAGTACAGCGCTGTCAATGATGTTGGTACATGTGGTAATATACGTTACTGTAGTGTACACCGTTTGTAGTATCTTACCCACTCCACTGAATCAAAAAACACTTATTGTAACATTAATGTATCATTAGAGGCCTTTGAGTTTGTCTTCCAGCAGCTGTCTGACTGCAGCCCTCTTGTGGTAGAAACGCACCACTACAACTTTATACAGAGACACGCTCTGTACTGTATGTTGAGCATATGTCATTTATTATAGAAACAGACCAGAGGTACATTTTCTTTTCTTTCATGCCCTGATATTTGTCTCTGTCACTATTTCGGCATCACTGTAATGAGTTACAGAGAAATGCTGTCCAGTCTCATTTTACTTCAGACGCGTTGAAGCGGCATGACTCATATGTTATAAATAGTGATGCATCTCCACTGCATTATTTCATTTTATTCCATTAGCTTCTAAACATGTAATTTCATCTTGGTTGATGACATTGCTGACTTTCGTGTGTGTTGTGTGTCTGTCTGCCTGCAGGTACCAAACACAAAACTATCCTGGAGGCACGGAGCGGGCTGGGCCCCATCAAGGCGTATCCTCGTCTGGGCCCCAAGCCCATTGGAGAGCAGGCGGGGGGGCCGGTGGACCCCAACACTCAGGAACGAACCTTCCACTGTGAGATCTGCAATGTGCGGGTCAACTCTGAACTGCAACTCAAACAGGTAGGAGGGAGAAAGTGTGCATGTATTTATGAATTATTTGGATTTGTTATTTATGTTTAAAGTACATTACATACAATATAACTTGAGATGAAGTGTTTTGTGATAACCAACATTATTTAATAATGGAAGAAATACCCTTTTCTTTTGAGCACATTGTAAAGTCTTCATTATCCAAAAGAGGTCAAGAGTCTAAGATATATGGTGTTTTGTCATTTTCTGACCCTTTAATATGTCAAATGTTTCCCTTTGTTTTTCACAATTGATAATAAGTTGTGTTCCTGTGTTCCCTCCTTGCAGCACATATCAAGTCGAAGGCACCGGGACGGCATGGCAGGCAAGCCTAATCCCCTCCTCAGCCGACATAAGAAGCACAGGATAGCTGATCTGACGGTAACTTTTCAAGTTTTACTATTGAATTCTGACCTCTCCTGTGACACAGATCAGATAGAGAACGATAATGGATAACATGAGGTCCACAGTGCCTTGTAGTGGTTAGAGCGTGTGTTTTTTTTTCTTCTAAAAGCCTGCCAGTTTTACTGTTTTCTACTATGACCTCCTCCTGAAAGATATGAACTCAATTTTACTGAAACATCTGCATTACTACAAATTAAAATAGTCTGGAGAGGGAGGTCTATATCTGTTTCCCCTCCATGTGTTAAACTTCTGGAACTAATTTTATCCCTCTCTCTCTCTCTTGTCTTGTGTCTCGCTGTGATCCCCCGTCTGTTTGCAGTCTTCTTTGACCTTCTCCAAAGATCTCTCCAAAGCTTTGGGTGCAGGGCTTTTGCCCAGCCCCTTGGCTGTTGCTGCAGCAATGGCCGCTGCAGCGTCCTCGAACCAGTTGGCTCTCCGTGCAGCAGTTCCGGGGCACCACCACCACCATCACCTTTTGCAAGGCCCGCCTCTCAGCCACGCCATCCTGAGACCCGCGCCCGGGCCCATGCGCACCACCCACGGGCCAATACTGTTCTCCCCCTACTGACTAATCACCCCCTGACTTCGGCCAGTCAGGAACAGCCACTCCAAAAGCACACTGTGAAGATACAAACATGATCAACAAACAACAATTGATAAGGGGAAAAAATCCAACCATTTAAATATTGAACATAGACAAATGCAAGGGAAAGGAGCGGTGGAATGAGTTAAATTGTGTTTCTTCCCTTTACCAGAAACTTTCCCTCCATTTCAAAGACTTCCGAGTGATCCGTGGATGGACTGAGCTGAGGAGAACATTTTCATTATGCATTGAACTCCCTTGAACATCTCTCACCTCCCCTGGTTCCTCTCCCTTGCACTGTGGCCCTGTCATGGCCGCCTCAATAGCTACAGAACAAACTCATGCACACCTTTCAAGAAACATTAAACCACATGTAGTGTTACAAAATTATTCTGGGCCCGGTTGGTTTTCTCCTGTCATCACGACTCAACGTGTTCTTCTCATCCTATGCACCTCAAAACCAAGACAATAATGTTATGTCAGTAGGGTAGCTGCTTCAATCGGTCTTCGCTGTTTGCGGCACATGTAGCTGTGGTGACCTTCACAGCACTAAACATGACCCCTTCTGCGCCAGAGGCCAACAACTTTGTGACATTAGGTCTTTGCTAGATACAACATGACTTGTCTGACAGGCAGGTGGTAGTCTGATGGTGGGAGGGGGTTAAAAGAGCAGAAAAGTGACTGTGGGGTATTGCACACCCCCGTCATTTCCTGAGACTGCGAGGTGAGAGGAGGGCTGGCACGGGTCAGAGGATGAATTGACCTCCGGCAGCATGCAGACGCACACAGGCCCAAACAAATCTTTGTTCTAAAATAGACTGCACCAACAAAAAACGCTACAGGGCACATGTGTCAACATCTATATCAGTCAGAGAAGGGCCTCACTTAAGGGGGAAAAAAGGATGTGAGAAACAGCAGAAGATGCATTGGTACATACTGTACTGCAGTATTTGATACATGATCTATATTTTTTGCTTTAATTGGTGGCAAGAATCTGTTCTTTTACTTACAGTCAAGAGAGATGTATGAGAGAGCATAGTTCATATATTTATTTGATGAGACGTCAGTTCATATTAAGCCATAAAAAGGAAAGTTATTGACCTCCTCACTTCACCTTGGTCTTTATTCGCAGGCTGATTCACTGTGTAGGTGGGGTGGTATGACTAGGTGTGACCCTCTGTACTGATGTATTTATGACGTTTCTGCATGCGGCCTCGTTATAAGATCCTGCAAGGTCAGGCTTCTGCATCATTGGGTTGAACTCTTCCATTAGCTGCCGTATCCTCCTCCTCTTTCTCACTTCCCCCATCTCCAAAGGTTCACATGAGTCTGTAGCAGGGGGCACATCAGCAGTGGCAACCATAATGCTCAAAGCGAACAAATTAAAGAGAGGAAGTTGAAAGCCAAATACGTTCTTGGAAAAATAATCTTGAGCTGGAGTGACAACCGAGCCAGAAGCCCAGCGAGGCTTCGGAGGGCTGCGAGCCGAGACGTCCGGCTCGAAGCATCTACGATTCTTCCCGTCTTACAAGTGAAAGCCATGAAATGCACCATGATTTGTTTTCTTTTACAAAGACTGGTGAGCACTTTGTTTTGTTTGGTTCGGACTGTTGGTTTGCATTTATATCACACATAAAAAAGAGCAAAATAGGAATCCCAATAACAATATTTTTGTAGGTAGCAAATGTTAAAAACTGCAGGGTGGAATTATAGGATGGTGGATTATATAAGAGTCGACCCAGACAGAGTGTAAGCAGACCACCTGACTCTGCAGAGAGACAGACAGAAGCTAGCTAAGCAGCGGCAGTAAACCTTTTTTGCTCGACATCAACCTTTTCTGAACGAGATGTACACTGTGCCCTTTCATTGAGAAGCAATGAGCTCTAATGTCTTACCTTTGTCTGAATATTGCAATGCAATGAGCAATTTTTATCAGAGTGACTTGTTATCATTGTGACATGTTTTCTGGAGTCATGTATAAACTGGGAGTACACCAGCTGACAGCCTTTTCTGTTCTTCCATGAGGAGTACAGGTCCTCGAAAGGCTTCAGAGAGGGACAGAGAGATGGGGGGTGTAGCTGGGTTTAGGGACCGACCCTTCATATTAAAGGGCCTTTTTACTTTGGTAATCTCTGCTTTGGGAACAGGGTACAACACCAGGTATCAAGGGATTAAAGCTAGAATTGTTCAACATGCTTACTTTCAGTTGAATCTGAGGTGCATTTTTTTCTGTGTGTGAGAAATGTGTTTAAGTGAAAATCCTGAGGATCATTATAAATGCCATGACTTAAAGAAGAAGCTGACTTGTCAGCTTCCACCGTTGTGCTCTTTTTGTTGCTGAACAAAACTTTTTGTTGCTGAGTTCATTTTGTGAGTAAGATACTATTCCAGGATCCGTGCTCTCTTTCCTGTTGGTGTGTGTACCATATGTATTTTAGTGTGTGTTGGGACCTGCTCTATCCCCACCTCCCTACAATCTGAGACAAAGGCAACATGGAGCTATAATGTGGCCTAACACAATAATGGAGACAAAAACCTGCATGTTTTGTTTTGAAAATATTGATCAGTCATCCTGGATTCTCGATTCTTGATCAATAAGCCAAATCAAAACAGTGCAGTCTTGTCCCTGGTAGGTCTGTCAAGTAGCAGCACTGCGGATATGTTCATTCTGTGGTTATTCCCACTATTTCATCCTCATTATTCACATTATGGGAAATAAATGTTAGATTCCTACTTTCTGGGAAGGTATTTCATGTTAGCTGTGTTTAGGCTACTAGCCTTAGCCTTATTCTGCCCTCAGCCTCTCTCATATCAGAGAGACAGAGAGAGATGGAGAGGCTTTGGTGTAATTTTGTCTTGCCAATAAAGTTATTTTTGAATTTCATTGTCAGAGGGGACAAAGAGTTTGTATGGCGAACTGTAGCAATACCTGACTCATTCTGGCTACTCTTGTTTATTGCAATAAGAAGATTTAACAATAAATGTGTATGTGAGTAAAACATTATAAATGTAATTTAAATGAAAAAGAAACGTTATGGTAAATACTATTGGTATCAAGAGAAACCATGGTGGGAAAAAAGTAAATGTCAATAAATCATTTAATGAAACAAATGTCTTCAGAGTTTTTATAAATCAATCATTGTGTGGTCCAATACTTTCTATCAAATGTCATAGCTCATAAATAAACATTCAAAACAATCTTTAATGTCCAGACAGGATCACTCAGTGAATCACAGTTCATATGCATGTCACTAATATATAATATGTGTGGTTTCAAGACAGAAATCCACCATACAGCAAAACAAGTTACTATTGGGTTGTTTTCGATGATAAAGCTGTTTATATCAACAAAGACACTGTTCGATAAGAAGTCAGATTATAAAATAGGTAGAGATGTTTTGCAGGATGACAGAAAATCAGAGACCTACTCTTAGATTTTGTTTTTGAATTTATTATAAAGTGAATACTGAGTGTGTCCATGCATATGTGATATTTTCTTTGTTTGAATGAACAATTGAGCTTTTATTCAATTTGAGGATGTGATGTGGAACATGGTTTTATAAGTGGTCCAGCAAAAATATGAGCTTGAACACAAAACGTTTTAAAAGAGTCCTTCTCATCTCAGCCACAATCAGTCATTGCAGAATCTACTTTGCGAGCATCCGATGCAGAGGCAGTGCAGAGAGTGACTGGTGCTGCATTGTACTGCCAGATGAAGAGCAGCATTGTGCTCCCTAGAGAGCGTAGCTGATTCCCCGTAATAGACGGCCCTTATGTCGTTCCCCTGGGAGCTTTTCCGAGCATTCCCAAACAGTGACAGCTTGCCAGCAATTCTCTCCATCTTGTGACATTACACAACTCAGCCACCAGATGGTAGTATTATCTTGACTAGGAAGAAGGCCCCCTTGAAACAATGCAGTATAGCTTAAAAGAGAATAAGCACATTCTGCAAGTATTAGAAGTCCAATGTATTTACTCATCATGAGTGTGTATCCCTGCAGTGCTTTGAGTGTTATTTTAGACTAATGTTCAAGGTCATTCTGTAGGCCTACTGATGTATCTGCCAATGTAGGCTCTGTGTGCGTATATGATAACGATATATGGCCAAATGTTAGGGAAAAGGCCATGAACAGATTGGAAAGACGGTTGCTATGCAACAATCTTCAAAAGACATTGTAAAACTAAATGACCCGTTGAGCCTGCAGCACCTTAAATAAAAGAAGAAGAAAAAATGAAACGTCACTATGACATAGCATGGTGTGTCAGTCAAGTATGTCAGAAATATCTGAAAAACCGACAACATTTTAAAAAAGTAATGTGGAAAAGATCAGAAAAAACATTATAAAATAGCATGTCGATAAACGTAAAAAAGCGAGGGAATAGTATGTCAAAAAAGTCATGGTATGGTATGTAGACAATATTTGAAAAATACATATTATAGAAACGACACAGTATAGTAGATTGAAAATATGCAAATAAAATGACTAAAATTGTACAGGATTCAAAGGCATGTATGTACTTTCTTTGAATTTTGAGAACAAAACCATGTTGTAAAATAACCATTTTATTATTGTCAGAAGAGAAATGCATTGTATTCAGACTTTTCTTAGATATAAATACCTTTTTTGATCATTTTGTCTTATTTTCATAAAAATAGATCCAACTACAGTAACATACATTTTATAATTTCCTTTTGTCCATCAATCTTGCAATGTACAAATAATTATTCCCAATGTTAAATGATACATACACCATGGTGCAAAAATATTGATGCCATTACTGAAAAGAAGACAGAAAGAGAATACTGGGTTCACCTTTCCAACACTGCGGTTTTCTCCCCTTTTGAGATGCTATTATGCCTCTAAAGCTTAATGGCATGGGTCTAGTTTTGCACTAGACAGCGGCTCTTCTCTTGAGAGCTCCATGCATTGAGATGTGGCAATAACACCGTGAAATGTTCAGAGAGGGATCTTCAAATGGAATCTCGAGTGGCAGAGATGTGTTCCTGCACTTTTCTCTAAATAGAAGTCTGCACCTGAGAGGAGAGGGCATGGTCTCTGGTCTCCCCTTTTTATGTTGCCCACTGCCATCTTCTCTCTTTACAGAGTTTTGCATCATATTCTGTTCGCAAAAGTAGTCACTTATCCGTTGTATTGATGTGAAAGCAATCATTTTTGTTCTGCTGTGTATAATATCATAAGCTTACAGTTGTTGCTGACTTGGTCTGGACAAATTCAAGGGGAGAAAACAAGACAAAACACACACAAAAGATTAAAATAAATGTTATAATTGCTGTGCACACATTTCAATTCTGATTTAGATACATATTGTTTTCAGGATGGAACAACTCAGGAAATACATTATCTGGGATGTTTGCATTATAATAACAAGCAAACTGTAGAAACGAAAAAACAAAGGACCCATTCACATTGTTGATTCACTAAATGTTAAAGCATATTTAATCTAAAATATCTGCATATAGGCCTTGAACAAAATATTCTACTAGGTGTTCAGCTGTTCAGACTTGACAACGCAAAACTGAATGAGTCATCTGCTGGATTTCAGTATATGAATACATCCGATCACATTCAAATATGAAAAGAATAAAAACCTTTTTGGGATCGGGCAAACATTTTTTACAGGCATTCATTTTTATGAAGTATTTAATGAGAAATAGATGTCAAAAATGGATGTCACTAAGTGAAAGTGTGTGCACACTCTCTCCTGCATTTCAACTACATTAGTGAACAAGCTGAAGCATGTGATAAACATGCAAATAGTCTAAACAGACACATGATGCCAAGACATCATCAGCATGAAAACAGATTTCTGTCAGTGTCACAGCTAAAGTCAATCCAGGCGAGTGCTCTCCTGTCTGTCCCCACAAACATTAATTGACAGGTTCAGGTACACCATGGTGAGGGGGGGGGGGGGGGGGGGGGTAGCCAGTGAGAGACACAGCGAGGTTCATCTCCATCATCTAATTTCCTTAGCCAGTCACAAAACTGTGTTGAGACCAACTGCAGCGCTTGGTCTTTTCAGTTCAGCTCGTTGGATGTCAATGTTTGTGCAGCTACTTTGGGCCGCTGTATATTCTCCAGAATACTCATTACTGTACTGTATGCGTACGCCGTATTGTCTCACAGGCAAAACAGCTGCTTCTTATTACATCTCAGACGTGACTTCCTCCCTCTATATTGTCCAACTGAATCTCGACTGCTGAAATCAGTTTCACTACTCTTTTTTGTGTTTTCTAAACTGTGAAAAGCGACATCTGGTTGTGACACACATGTCACAATGCTCCCTTGATGGAGAATAATATAAAATTGAAGGATCAGTCCTGCCACTAGTATCTTGTCCTCTTCAGGGAAATTAAGTCAATCGATGCAATAACCCAACTCCCACTCAGGGGTCACACAAAATAGACACACCCTCAGCCGATCTCTGAAAACAAGGGGACCATGTCATACCACATTCATTTAGTTGCATAGAAGTAAACCGTGAGCCTGTTATGCTTGTCATTAAGGGCTCTAAAGTGACAGGTACCCAATATGCTCTCACAAGGCTTCTTAGACGGCTGCCCAGGCACTAGCAGGACAGTTAAATTGTGTTGGCATGGCAGCAGCCCGAGACAAAAGCTACAATTGTGAGAGAACAGTCTGCAGTCCTTCATTCAGGAGTAGGCGGTCAAGGCAAATTGCCCTTCTGCACTGAGGCAGCACAGGCCATGGCTGGATTGAATCTAATTAACTATTCTCAAGCAGTGAATAGGGAACATTCAATAAAATGTTTGGCGGAGGAAAATGCAGCCATTTTTGTCCTTGAGCTGGGACCTGACTTTAGAAAATAAATTGAAAGTATCTTTACTTAATATCAGATGTTCAAACATCCGACAGCACAGGTGATAGAAAACATAACAGCCGGAGTTTAGAAAGGTGAGAGACATTAGAATGATGGCAAAATAATGTCAGTGGAAAACTAGCAAGGTATCCTGCAACGCACCTGCATAAAGATAAGAAGATTGCACGCTAATGAACATGGATGTGAACAATAGTGTTTTTATACATTTTGTGAATGTTAAATGTTTTATATAACTTTAATTTTTGCAGTTGCTTCCTTATCTAAGGTTATCATATTCTGTAGAGATTGTAAAGCCCCTGAGGCAAATACGCGATGTGTGATATTGGGCAATACAAATACAATAAATGTAACTTGTTTACTTACAATAAAACTCAACAAGGTGTCTTTAAAATAAATGAACAACTACTCAATGACATTGACAATCGCTGTGCTTTACACTTTCTCAATTTGAAGTGTCACAATCTGGCGCAATGAATGTCATTTGGAAAGAGTGCAAGAAAAAACAGTAATACTGTAAACTGAGGTTCAACAGAAAACACACAATATAGTTGATGGATCACTACTATCAGCAGTGAAAGCAACGCATAGAGATATGGTTACAATCCTTGGTTGGGCTGAAGGTGATGCAGGGTGGATATCAAAGATGTCGTAGAAAGAGACAAACAAAGTACATTTATATTGCATCAGGGTCCCAAATGGAATTCAGACATTTGTGCTTTTCTTACTGTGACATGTCAAAGTGTCTAGTGACTCCTCTGCTGTATAGTCAAAAACCTGAGGCAGTTACATTAAGCAAACAAATGCCTGGGCCTGTTCTGGGAGAATGTATATAGACAGATAGCAGAGACGAATAAGGATCAGGAACAGAGGCATGTGACAGACGATGAACTTCGGTTTGTAGCCGTCTTCAGATTGGACGATCAGGAGTTGCAGGTATTATAAATAATGTAAGGCAAACAATACATGAGAAAACTTGCAGATAGGAGCAGATAAAACTACTTCTTATATTTCAATTTTCATTTTTGAAATGCCATTCATTCATTCATATATACATTTTACAAAAAGTATTAAAAGTAAAACCAATCCTCTGGCCTTCAAGTTCCTGCCCTGCTGATCCACTATACTGTCAATACTGTACAGCTTCTTGCTGATGTAGATACCCAAAAGGCATGGTGAGTCACAGATGTCCTTCCAAGAATTGTCTTTTTGGATCTCCCACAGTACATGCAATGTAAGCCCTCGAGCG